ATTAATCGCTTATGAATAAAAAATCTTCACTAAAACTACTCGTTGCAAATCCATACTCTTCATTTGCCTCGTCGCACAACTGAAACCCTCATTTGTATCACTCGTGCTCCGATACCATTTTTTATTCCAATTTAAAGATCACGACAAATTACATATAGAGAGAATCCATAACATGCAATTGATACAACATTGTTTTGATGATAATCGATTTTTTTTTTTATAAAGGTTATCCTACCTCTTTTTATACAAAATTAACTGACTAGTTTAATCATCTATGTTAAAATAACTAGAGTTTGTCCAGAACTTGAATTATTTCATTTCACACATGAAGAAGTGAACATTGTATTACTACTTCTTGCTTCCAATCTGGTGAAGGTTTTGTTCATGGTCGAAGATAACATGGATGGACATGGTCGAGTAGATTCAGACCTAGTCTTTTGAGGATACACCATCAGTTACTATCAAGAAGCTGTATAAGGTACAACAACAATATTGTAAGCTGTACAATATGGTTACCGTCCCTACGTTTCTATTGCAAAGTACTGAATTGTGTGCAATTTGAGTTTGCTGCACTCCAGAAATAGGAGTACTTCTTATGGCTGTGAAAATTGGTGCGAAGCCAAGAGCAAAAACTTCAGGGATGAATTCAGTTATTTTTTAGTTCCGTCCTTACGAAATCGAGTCAGTAGTCTATGAGGGTCTATTTCAAACAGAGTTCAGGTTATAGTCAAAAGCAACAAAAATGAAAGTGGAGTATTTCTATTCTTGAAGGCCCTAGTCAAAAGCCTATCTATCAAATTTGCAAATTTGGCGAATATTGGTATAAATTCAACCTTCTGCAATATGCTTGGACTGTACTCGAAGCATAAACTGGATCCTGAATATTAAAGTGTTTGGTCGATGTCGGTCAGGGATTTCCATGTACTTCTTTCTCTCTTTTGCAGAACAATCAGTTACGGACTACAAATTCGACCTGGCTCAGCCTGGACTAGAGGTCCTGCGGCAGCGGCAGCAGCAGAAAGCACTTCCGAGACTTTCGAAGGCACCACGATGTACGACCAAGCTTTGGACTGTGGCTGGCTACGGATGGACGGACCCAAGGAAGGAAAGGCTGCATCAAAAGCTCTGACTCAAATTCGAGCTCAAGCAAGCCTCGCTTCCTGAAAGTCGAACGAGAGAAAAGACAACCGAGAGAACGAGAGAGAGAGAGAGAGAGAGAGAGAGGAGACTTGGGTAGAGGACTGCAGAGGGAGGGAAATCATACTGCGAAGGGAGGGAGAGAGTGCAGCAGGCAGGGAAGCAATCAAGCAGGGAGGGAGGGAGGGAGGGGGCAGGAGAAACACAGCTGTAACAGTGATCCAATTTTACGGCCACTGGCTGGGGAAGTACTTTTCATATGATATTTTAATGGAGTTCACGTCGTCTGCAGACAGACTACAAGACAGACAGACAGACAATTCCAGACATGTACTGCAAAGTTCAACTGCCAAATTCCACCTCTGACATCGATGGCATTAAGATTTATTTTTCTCTGTTTCGCTGTACCGCTGCCAACTTACCTGTCAATTGATGACATTATGCGCTTTGTCTTACAGCACAGAACGAAATTGGCTGGGGTCGAAGTACCGAAGGGAACATTGCGCTTTGCAGTTGCAGTTAAGGACTAGGAAGAATGCATGGGTATGTCAGTTCGGCTATGGGTTCTCCCGACCCTGCAACAGAATGATTGGTCTCTGAGAGCACGCTGCGGAAGAGGCCTCTAGCTCTGTTGTCACCTTCTTCGACACTGCTGACGCTCACAGCAACAAGATCCTACCGGGAAAGATGGATGTAAAGCAAATCTAAACAGTTTTCTGGTGCATTTTGGTATCGCAGAATAGAAGTAGGTTCATACGATTGTAACTTGTGAGCAAGTACCCTCGCCCCGCCCCGCCCCGCCTCACCTCGCCTCGCCTGCTTCACTGCCGATTGTACCCTCGTCAACAATTTACTCCATAGGCTTTTTGATGATTTAGATTCCATGAAACTCATTCCCTTCCGTGGAAGCTTCTGCTTACTTAGAGTTCACCTGTGCAATCTATCTTCTTTCTCTCAAAATTCTTGCTGTCAAATGTGACTTTGCATGAGCAGTTGAGATGGTTGACATCTGTGAAACTCTTTTTCCAGCGTACCAGTGAGGGTCCATGTACGACGATAAGGTTTGTCTCATGACCTTAGGCACTGTTAGGCAGTACTCCCTCACCCTCCCTCCCTCCCTCCGACTCTCTCTCGCGCGTCAATGTAGCTCTCACAGACCAGCAGCCGTCAGGTTCTTCAGGAGAAGTTATGCAGCTCTTAGTCCCCAGATAAGACTCGCCCAGCTAGTGAAGCGAGTCTGAAATTGACCATTGACAGAGGACCGTCTGCGAGCTGCCAACAGCAGAGTGCTGTGAGGCCAGTCGTGCCGGGAAGCCCGGCATTCGAAAACTGCATCGATTTGTACGAGCCTCTAGAGTCGGGTCGATCCCAGAACATCGACCGAGATGGCTACCATACATCACACACTGCGGCGGCCAGTCTACGACCACAAGTAGTCGACACTGCACTGGCAGTGGCAGACGGCTGGCTGGACGCTGATATTTGTGGGCATCATGTACGAAGAGATTGGAAGTCTGTGTACGGCTGATGGTTGTAGTCCGGTCTGATTTTCCCTTGTGTGAAGAACGGACTAGAAGGTCGAAGAAAGGAACGACCAAGTTCATTCGAACTGGTGTCTCGTCAGATCTTCGCAGACTGCTCGTCGTAGACTCACTCGTTCACACCCTTCTGCCGAAAACGACTTGACTCGTAGTTCTTCATATTTGGCCGTTGATGTCGAAGAAGACATCGGACCACCTGCAGGCACGCCTAGAGAACCTACAGTAGAGAGACGGACATCACAGGAAGATGGGAGGAGGTTGGAGGAAGAACTCGAGCCCACGTTGAGTGGCCGATAGTTGGCTTGGCCCTTCCGTCTCTGAACTCCAGAGAGCCTGGACCGGACCCAAATCTCAGGACTACCACCGAGCTAATACAATACGGCACTGCTGATTTTGATGCAGATCCTATGGCTGAATGAAGTGCCACTGTTGGGTCGTTCTTCTGCCGCCATGCACAAAGCATGCTACGAGTATCTGCAGCATGGGTGCATTGGTGCCGCCAATACTCCAAACTGGCCCAGCTAACCATCATTATATGTGGGTGACAAACTGCAACATCCATCCTATTCGAACGAGCTGCACCAGGCTTCCAGTTTGCTAAATGTGGCTTGCTTCGTTAGCAGGACGAAAAAAAATGACGAAAAAAATGCGCGTGTTTAGTGCTCTTCGGTATGTCGAGTACCTGTTGGCTCGTCTCAGTCAATTATCTAGAACATTGCAACTGTGACACCAAATTTTAGAAAGCTGAGACCGCCAAAGTGTACGTGATCGATGGTCCCAAATGAAGGTGGCGGTGGTGTCACAGTGCACACAACTAAACGATGGAAGTGCTCTCGTGGGTGCAAACAAAGGTGCAATATCCATGAGCAATGATGAATACAATTCGAGTGCAAAGAACTCGATGAATTAGCAGCTCAACGGACGTGAAAACCGTACGGAGGATCTAGTGGTGCTTTCACAATTCTTCTCGTCCCTTTTCATCATTTGGAGATAGGAGGAATGATAAGCTACACTCGAGGACGCAGTGATGCGCTACTCCACTACAATGATGAATAAGAATGAGACTTTACAGAGTGAATCCCGGGCAGAATCATGCTTGGAATGCAGTAATGATAGCGTGCCACAACTGAAAATTTCCTCATATTTTCCTGTTATTTTCTGTTACTTGTGCGCAAGGTTGCAGAATCAACCTCAATGAATCAAATTCCTGGTGCCCATCATTGTTATCATGTACGCAGCGTGATGATCTTATTCCTTTGGTTGCGCTGAAAGACATGCACCAAAGTGCAGTCGAATAAAGCTAGCCTGATTTCCTCATAACGAAGTCTTCCCTTTGCAACTGCAAAATGATTGTTCCTTATGATATCCCAAGATATTAATAAGAATGTTCACTACTTGTGTCTTTTAATCCTGAACTCTTCCCAATTGAGAACTTTATCTTACATGGTCATTCAATCAACCCCAAATGGCAAGTTGCTATATTCCTTATGTCATCATCATGGTGATAAAATATGTCAGTGGTATTTTCACTGTGTGCCTTATCTTGATGCAGTTCTCCCATCTGAATCTCATCATGCCTTCCACATGGGCCTAAGTGCTTTACATTTGTGGTTAGTGAGTTGGACTCTTCAATGTGCACCTCATTTAGAGTTCAAATCACCCGATAATACAAGTATGCTTCTCAGCTAGCTTTAGGTTCGAATAAACCTATTAACACCACATCATGCATTTTAAAGAGAACACTTACTTAAGGGATAAGTACTTTAGAAGAGTTGAAACTTTATTGACCCTCGCATTGACTTCTATCGGGACTTGTCATTCTTTGGGTGTCAGAGAGAAGAAGACAGAAGACGCTGTAGAGCAGAAAAGCTCGCATATGCACTCCCATTCCTTTCTACATAGCCCACTGGCAGGGTTTAAACGCATCGTGGTGGGAAGGATTGTGAGCGAGGAATTAGAAAGCTTTCCATTTGATTGCTTACCTACTGAGCACATAGCTATCGCCGGCTGTCATCTTAACTGGAGGTGTCTTACTCGTGGTTTGGATGGGAACTAATGGATCGGATAAGATTCGAGATGAATCTTTTCTGGTCTTTTACAGAATTATGGCCATATATGAATCTCATACCTCCCAGTGGGGGCAGAGAGTTTCTGGTTCATATTTACTCGCTTTGGAGTATGTTGAATGGGTAAAAGGTGACGCTGTTTTCATTGTTGCAAATTTGCAAGTTTTGCAAAAGTTGAGAACTTTCAAGATAAGGCAATTGTGGTTGCAAGGATGATGGAGTGACATTTTATATCTTTTCATATTCGCTTTCTGCATTTCCATAACTAGAGCTGAAAACGAAAGGTGGCTCAATGATTGGGACTAGTGAACCTCGAATGTTAATGACTCGATTCCCATGCACATTTCGCCGACGGGATCTCAATCATATTTTGATTCGAGGCAATTTCACGTACATTCTTCAAGGGCGCTGTATTTAGCGGACGCATTTTGTCATCGTTGACTATCAGTAACCTGTTCTGGAATTCCTACTAGAATTTACCCATTCATTGTTTGTGATTATTTTGCTTATGAGTTACTCGGGCCAATTCAAGAGCGCTATCAAGACTCAATTGAGCATTGTTCGCTAACCGTCCATGAAACTAAGGTTAACTGTCGACATTCAGGCAGTTATTTCATGGCAAAGATGCACAATACACATCGAGCGGGATGAAATCCCAACTTTCGTGCGTGTGCGTGTGTGGTTCCCTTTTACATGAAATGAAGAGAAAAAAGCAGAAATAGCGAAAGAAAACCAGGTTTCCTAATGGGAATGGGGTTTACGAAATGGTCTGCAGGTTATGTGTTTGTGTAGAGATACGTGTGCAATAAATAGTTCACACAGGGTACCTTTGCCCCTGTAGTTAAGAGCAACTGAATCTCTTGTCTAACTTCCGTCCACATCCAGTATAGCAGGAGCAGCATACTATCCTGGATCGCAAAAAGGTGGCATTGACACTTACGCGTAAGCCGTCATTCTTCTGTCCAGCACAACGAAACATGAACGCACGTTCATTACATATGCGAATTATGATGCTTGTTGTTGCTGGACAGATTAGATCCAGACGATGAGATGGAAGGATGCCTTACACTTAGATCCGTACCTCAGACAAAGTTGGTCAATCTCAATTCGCGCATCACACATGCAGCAACCCTGGGAACTCGTCTTGCCAAGTTCTAGCATAGTTCTACACGCCCAGAAGAAGTGAGAAATTTGCACGTGTAATAACCCTTAACTCAAAGCAGACGTGCAGCACGCATTACATACTCACGTTTCACATGTTATTATGGACATGCAAACAAACAATATGCTTTTCCTGAACGTCAGCAAATATGGCCAGTAACTTCTTTTGATGCTATAACTGGGTAAAATTCTGATTCGTGCATTCTACTGGGCAAATGTCCGAGAACGACGTGGGTCCAGGTAAAGTTACCAAAGCTGCAGTAGCGCGACGATTACGGTTGTTGACAGTTGGAGATCCTTCAGTAGGTTATACCTGAAAACAAACTGGCAGGATTCTTCTTCGAGTTCAGTTCACTGCAGCGATAGTTCCGATCTGATCTCCTCAAAAGGCACAACAATCACAATCAAATCAACTGCAACAAGCGTCGTCAGTTGTTAGAGACAGGAACTCCAAGTTCTTAGGGAATAAGCTTTGGCCTTTCAACCTCGTGAGATTCACAGGTCGTTTGCCTCCAAACATATGGGTACGTGGAGTACGTGAGGTTCGCTTTTATACAATAAGCTCATCTCTAAGAAATATCTCAAGATTTGGATTCACGATTGTCTCCCCTAAAAATGTTAAAAAGCAGTCGACAGCCGCAGTTTGACAATGTCTTCCGGTGAGAGGAAAATTTGGCAACCTAATCCAACAGCTCACATAACACCATCAAATTATCTCGTAGAAAGCTGGTAGTGGAGCAAAACAATGACGGGTGTATGTGATCTGACCATAAGACGACCTACTTGATGCAAACGAACACAGAATGTCAGAAGTTAGTTGCTCTGTTTGACTGCCATCTGAGCCAGAATCTTGAGAGGCAGGACTAAGAGTATAAAAGTAACCTCTTACGCTCTTGGGCAATCACTTCGCTCCTCTCCAGTTATATGAGGTTCACTCATAAATCAAAGCTTGTCCATTCCTTCCAGATAGGAAATTGTGACAGGTTAGTGCAACGATATTAAGTGATTCACTACAACAAGCTAGCGGGGACAGATACAGATTAGCGCACGAAAGCATACGGACAGAAGAAGCAGCTCGAAGAAGAGACTAACAGGCCGGAATACGAGTGAAGATTCGAAAAACAAAAGAAACTCAATGGGAATGAATCTCAAGCTGGTGTAATCAGCAATGCAAGATTGCTGATTGCTCACAAAAATTTACAAGCAGAAAAAAAGAAAAAGATCTTTGTGCTCACTCGACCTGAAGGACGAATTGCTGTTCGTTCTATGATCAGCGCCAATCGCGCCTAGAAAATGGAAGAGAAAGAACGGAAAAATTACATTGTATTACAACAGCACATCTTTACTTTAGAGGTTTACATAGGCCTACACATGAAGGTGAACAGTTAGGCGCTTGTAATCCTTCAACAGATGTTATGCAACCTGCACAATGGCAAACTCTATCTCAGATTTAGTAGAGCCTGGTCAATGATGATGATCATTTGACATCTGTTACAATTGTACCACAAAAACCTAGACGACTGCGCAATAGTCAGGCTGCCGTGAACTCATTACAGCGCTCATTGATGTGACAATTAACATGCGATTTTCCTCTTGTACTCTGCTGAGCTTGTTAATGGCTGCGTGGAGCCCTTATCAGCAATACGACTCTATCCCAATATGACGCTGTAATCTGTTATTGACTTGGGGGACAAGATCATCAAGGCCTATCGAGCACGAGTGTTGGCTTCTAAACAACGAAGGCTATTGAGCAAGACGTGAACACAATACATACGTGCGTGAAGTAGAACGAGGTCTGATGGGTCGCCGGAATCTTCTCACATCGTGTACATTGTGGGGTATGTCTGAAGTGAAGACATATTATACTACAGATTTAGTGGACGTGTTCGTGTAGGTCCCTGAGCAATTAAAGCGACTGTCAATGGCCGGACATGATGATAATGACCTGATCAACAAAGAGAAAGCATGCTTCTATGATGCTCGTGCTTCAGGGCACGAGGACGCCATCTTGAGAAACTCAACAGTCAGGTCATGTCAAGTGTGTAATCTGTTCCCCCGTGGACCGATGCCCGTACGGCACAGCAAACAGTCAAGAACCAACATTTATTGGGTGCATTTAGGGCCATTGATAACTTCGCAATCAAATGTTTAATTACCTGAGGCTCGAGATATTGTAGAACCTCTTGGGAATACAGTACTCGTACCGACCTTGTTGACAATTGAGACATCCGCTGATTGCTGATGAAAGGGGTCAGCCACAACCATGCGAGAAGGCTTTCACAGGTTCTGCGAGAGGTTGCAAAGTATCCAGGAGGGTAAGAGAGACGAAATAAGAACCGACCTCAACGACGTCGCAAGGCTTTCGGATCTTCTGCCACCTCTGAAAGAGGCTCCCACGAGAAGTCCTCGTAGTGCAGATTAGCAGTATTCTACATGATAAAGAGACTGCAGTAGGATCACAGGTAGTGGTAATGGAATCTCGGTGTGCCATTGACTTGGATCACGGTGAGCGTGAGCGTGAGCGTGTAGAGTGCATGGACTTATTCTGTATGTCTACTGCATGTCTTCCACCACGGAAGCAAGGAATCAATCAGATATTTTCGCTCTAAAACTCCAGCGAGAATTTAGAAGTAGCAAACAGGATGCTGCCTCAAAAACTAATATACTTGATATTCTCACAGGTGGGTAATGAATCCAGATCTTTCTAATTGGTATTCATCTTCTCTATCGCTAGCGGTTTGGGAACTCTTGTGTGGGAACAAACTCAGACAGTTTGGAGAAGCAGACGCAGTGTTTCAGCGCCTGATACATTATTTGTCCAACAGACCGACCTATCAATTCCGATTGAGGGCATGGGCGGTAGGTGGGTCTTTCGATTCTTTCATCATTCCAAGATCTCGCTCTGCTATCAAAACTGTGCATGTGAGGCTGGCTGGCTCCAGTGAAAAAGAAGCGTCAGACGAACATCTTGTCATATGTGCACATGCTACCACCTGTGTCACTCCGCGAGTTCTAACCAAAGGCGTTGTGACGTTGTGACGCACTCATTATCGTCCACATCGAACAATCGTGGTGTAATCATAGATTGTTGCTTGGATTCACAGGTCCCTCAAGCAACTCTATATCACTATCTTGTCATATGCGTAGATGCTGGCCCCAGCCCAGTGCAGGTGACTCTCCCTCATTAGCAACACGTCGATTGTGATCATAAATCAACGTTCGAATGCGTCAATCGATAAGTAATCATGGAAACCCTTTAGTTGCAGCCAAAAAGGCTAAGTCTCAAGATCTGGCGAATTTAACCCTCGCATTGCCAAGCTGATCAGTCTTGTCCACATGCGTGACACGAAACATGTGACTCCAGAATCCGAACTAGTCGCATACTCAACTCGAAGTTCATGGCGATGGAACCACTGAGTCATTCGATGTGCAATCATGCGGGCGCTACTTGCATCCAACCGACGAGCTGCAATTGCAGGAACTCTTGACCGCGTGACAGATTAATCAAATCTGGTGATTCTTCCCTTCAGTCAGGCAAATGATGGCCGCGAGAAAGAGAGAAAAAGGTAGAACTGTGGCGAAGCTGTCCGTTCTAAACACTGGAGGCTGTGCATCGGCACAGAGTATCCAAGGGCTCAAATATCTCATAATGAAGCAATGCTCATCATTTAGTGCTTTTGAGTTTCAGCATGTCCGAAGTGACAACCCTATTGCAGCCCTAGGGCCACGCTTGTGTCGTGTCCTCGACTCTCAATCTATAAATCGGCTTTATCTGAACTCTGCCTGTACATAGCCCTCTATGTATAGACAGACGGACGACGACGACGACGACGACGACGACGACGACGACATCGTATGAACTCTCAGATCCTCCGCCCTCGCCCATCCCCATCCCCATCCCCGCAGACGAGTACTTTTCACGGGATACAGACCGTCGGACCGATGTCCTCTCACATGCAATCAGAATTCACTGCTCTTCTACTGGGATCGCCTGTCTACGTCTACGAAGACGAAGACGAAGACGAAGACGACGACTACAAATACCGAGGCTCGACTCTACGCAACACGCACCACTCCACAGCCCCATGTGACCAACAAGCTCCTGGATAAAATTGAAGCTACGAAAATGGGGAATCTGCACTCCATCAACATCTACGAGCACTGAGCAGAGATGCGACAAAGAATTACAGGCTGGTTCAACAGCTCATTCATCTTTCCGAATCCAGAGTCAAGACTTACGTGAACGCGAAAAGGTCTGCCAAAGGGGAAAGCACAGCGTCGGTGCAAGTTGTAAGTGCACCCGAGCTAGATTTTGTGGGGATTTAGCAGAGGAAAGAGAATTGGCTGAAAAGAACGAAAAGGCGCGCAATTAAAGCAAATGCGGTCGGGAGTATAAAGTACACGTACACAGCTCCCCTCCCCCGCCCCCCTCGCCTCCCGTACAGCCGAGGGGTACAACCGCACTGTAGGCCGTAATCCATTGAGCGACAGTATGTCTACCGGCCCTGTACAGAGATGCAATCCCCACGCGAGCGGAAACGGCATCTTATACACGCGCAGGCGCGAGGGGGTTTAAAGCTCGGAGCCAGCCGAGGCGCGGGCGGGAGCCAGCGACGAGCCACCGGGCCGGATGGACGGATGGATGATGGCGAGATGGCCGGGGGGCCGAACGCCGGACAGCCACAGTCGCAGTCGCAGAGGAAGGCTGGAGCGCAAGCACAGCGCACACCAGCTCCGCCCCAGCAGGGAGCTCATCATCACTGCTCAGGATCGCGGTCAATGGTCATCGTGACAGCCCAGAGCCCGGCGCCAATGGCCCGGGTCCACGACCGCAACAGAGACACCCCAGTGACCACACATCAGAACCTACCTGGCGTCGTTCGGCCATTCGATCAGATGCTGCAGGGCGCTCGGGCCGGCGAGGCCTCTGACCCTCCTCAAGACTTTGGAATCGGCAACCGCCAGCTTTTTCGGAGCACGGGAGCAGGGCGCACGAGTTCGAGTGCCCCCTGCCTCCTCGTCGTATTTTTATTTTTACGCCCCCCTCCCCCTCCCCCCCACCTTCGCCTTCGCCTTCCTCCCCCGAATCCGAGTCCGAGTCCGGGTCGCCTGCCGCTGCTCTTCGATCGTACCCCACCCCTCCCCTCCCCTCCCCTCCCCACAGTCGAGGCCCTTCCGCCGCCCGTCGTGAGTGACATCACACGAAGCGGAGACGCGATGCGATGTAGTCCGCGAGTCTAGTCGTAGTGCGGGCGTAGTTGTAAGGCTGCAATTGGAGTGGTCACTGGGCCGGCATCTCCAGCCTCGAGATCAGCCAGGAGGGGCGGGGATGGGAGGGGAGGAGGAGGAGGAGGAGGAGGCAGTGAGTGAGAAACTGCGACTGGTGATGGCCCGGGGAAAATTGTTACATCAGAATTCTGAGGTCTGAGCTGCTGGTGCTGCTGCAGGTCGCTGCGGCTGGCCTTGCTCGACACGAGCGAAACCAACCATTGATGGAGTTGGTAGGCCTTGTCAACCTGGGAGCTGCGGCTCTGCCCCATTCTCTCGATTGACAGCGATCTCTGGGTCTTGTGACACGCATTGAAATTGACAAAAACTGGTCATTCAGATCATTGCTCTTACCACGATAAATCGGAGGACCTGATCCAGTGAGTCCAAACATCGGAAAAGGCGTTTGCCGCTGTCACACGTTGATGCTGCGAAGGGCCCAATAACCCTCTCGGCTCGGCCAAGCGATCAATGCCACCCGTCAGGCATCTGATTTTCTCAGATCGCTTCCTACGAAATCAAACAAACACACGTACTAAATCACAGAAAAGGTGTCCCCCAAAGAAAGAATGAACGCCTCTCCACCTGGCGTGTAATACTTTCAACTCGTTGTCAGTTTCGAGTGCCGACTCGATAAGTTACTGCATCGCAGCGCCTACCACCGGTACAGCCTCCATACATACAGTACAGGCGTCTCAGAGAAGAACCAATGTCACGCAAAGGTCGACTCCATAAAGACGCGCTTCAGCTAGGACTTTATTCTCCCGTTAGCTCGATCGTATCCAGACAATGAACTGTCCATCTGCTGTCCAGGGCTTGCGCTTACCCTAGGTTAGTGTTTGTTCTCCCGGTAGAGGTTGAATATATACCCGCCGGCAACCAATCGCTGGGTGCAGCTCAAAACATGCCAAGGTCGATGGGCTTGAATCTTTATTATTCCCCATATCGTGTGTACAGACATGAACTGTCAATTTCCGTCTTTTGTTGCAAAGGTGCGCACAGCGGGGAAAATCCTCGTAGGGCCTGCCGCGATGATACTACGAACGCTACAACTGTGGCACAGAAAGGAGAAAGCTCAGCAAGGGATAGAGGTGCGAGGGGCGCGCCCAAATCAGAACGAATGTAGCCATAGGTAGGGGCTTGCCATCGCGCTCGCAGTGCCTCGTAAGAAGGAAGGAAGGCAGGTGCTGTAGGGGTGTATGGGGATATACGTAGAAGTACTGGGATAAGCTCCGATAAGCCACCGGGTTAGGAGGATGCTGCACTGCGGCTGCAGTAAGCAGGGAGGGGATGGGGATTGTGGTCGGGAATAGAGATACCGACGGGAGGAATGTTGGGTAGGAAGGCACACGACGCACTTTTGGGTGGCTTTGGTCACCAAACAAAGCGAAGCGGGCGAGATGGGGGCCGGCGAGGAGGTGGAGGCGAGTGTCCACTGTCTTCAGGGGGGTCAATGCCTCAAGCAAGGCGGCATTGCCCCCCACTGTCCAAGCATGATCTGTTGGTACATTGAAGCGGGGCTCTGGAGTCGTCTGGACTGCAACCCAACACTTCAGCTTCCGGGAATGTTGGGACGAGAGAGGCTCATTAATTCACGCACCCGCAGCTCCGTGGACGAGTTTCGCTCACCAAACAAACCAAATTGAGATTGCTGGGAGACTGTGTCCGGGGGGCGACTTGACTCCGGTTCACGTCACACAACACCCACCGAGCTTTCCGGAAGATCTAGTTCTCCTCCCTCTGGCTCGAGTCTCGACTCGGGCACCGCTTTTGGAATCACTCCGCATCAATTCTCGGTTTCTCGTCGGCACGACCCGTCCGTCACCCGTGGCTCATCCATCAGCTGCTCTGCCCTTTTCGCCCCGCCTTCGAAGCCTTGGACATGACCGGAGCAAGTACACCGAGTCCTTCGCCCGCCCGCGCGCCCGCCGGCCAGCCAGAGGATTAATCGCAGGGGGGTTTTCGTTCGTTCGGGCAGGAGCAGGAGCAGGAGCAGATCTTCATGGGTACACACGCCGCAAACGTGATCAAGGCGAGCGCTCGCTTCCACACTGTACTTGAATGCATGCTGGTGACCATGGGTGGCCGAGGATGGGCCCATGCTTTGGGGCCAGACTGCGAGGCCCTGAGGCCCTTGTGCTGGGCCCTGGCTGACAGGCAAGCTTTCGCATTTTACTCGGGTTAAGAAACCATGATATCTCCAGAGTCCTCGCACTCACTCCATCCTACCTACAAAAAGGAAGCTTCACCATCCCGGGCCCCAAATCGGGTCCGAGGCGACCCCCGGCGACCCCCCGGCGACCCCGGTGGGCCCCCGATCTCGCGAACAAATACCACCCGCGGCGGGACTTCCCCCTCAGGGCCCGATCTGCCTTTCACAGCTTCCCAGACGTGCTTTCTCCTCCGCCTGCCTGCCTGCCTGCCTGCCTCCTGCCTGCACCCACCTCGCTCCCTCGCTCCCTCGGCGTCCCGTCGAGTCCCCTGTGCCTGTGCCTGCGGTTCGCATCGGAATTGGCGCTGAATTCCGTATGCCCAGCTGAACTTTCATCACACCTGCCTGCACCATTGCAGCCATCACGAAGGCATCCCGTGGCAGAGCAGGATCCGTGGCACTTTGTCGCCTTTGTCCGCTTTCGTGAGCCGAGCGCTTGCGCTCGATGATTTCTCCAACCCAACCCAACCCAACCCCCGGCCCCGTCTTGATTGGCCCGTCTGCACATCTGCACATCTGCACTCCGTCTCTCGCGGTGCCGTCCGGTGCTCTCATACGGTCGACGGACCCGATCCCCACCCATAAACGTCCATCTGCTGCGAACGAACTTGCCTCGAGAATCTGGGACGTGTAAACATTGGCGGAACTAACTCGCAGAACTGTTGGTGAATCGTCGGAGGAATCACCACGTGAGGTAAATCTGCTGATGGGATGCACACATCGTGTCGAATCCGATGGATGGTCAACATGCCCCGGCGCCAGGGTCGTCTATCTTGTGCCAGTGACGATCACATCATCACACTATATCATCGAACGTTTTGTTTGAAACCGAAAGCAACACCTACTCGTATCCTGAAGCTGAGGCGTGTACAATTCTGCTTGTGAGGCTCACATCCTCTGCAGGCCCCGGCAAAGCGAAGAATGATGGGAGAGCCGGTCGTCCTTTACCATTTGACTTTCATGTCTGCAGTGCCATCTCTGTTCACAATTGTCATTTGTGAGCACCACAACTCATCCACGCACCACTTTTTTGTTGTTCTTGCGGGTGACGTGCTCACTTCGTTGCGAGGATTCTTTGAAACTGAAAGCACCCCCGCTTCGATTCAACGATGGTGTACAACAATGTCCAGGAATACAGTATTTCGTTTGGACCCTATGGCTCAGATCACTCAATTGGCATATATCTGTTTCCCGATTCGAATTTGCGCCGGGCCAAAAAAACTCAAACTTGTGAATCCACCTTCGAGTAATATCTCGAATGCACTCCAATGATGAACGCTGGCCTCTTTTGCCAGCCATACTCCCGTTTGTTGTTTTCGACACCTGTTTTGTTTCTGGAGCATCCCAGATGGATGGCTCCAGACGCAGTCGGGTGTTTCCTCCCCTCGTGAATGCGCAACTAAAATATACATTTCCGTTTCTGTTGGATCATCGTCGGTGGACATGGGAGAGGTGTGTAAACCGCTAGTGTACGCCAAAAGTTGTACCACGGCGCTTCTGGAGGTACACGGTACGCACAATTTATTGCCCGAAATGCTATTCAATATATTTCAGCGTATCTGTGCCCTTTGGCGTGACACACTTTGCTTCGGTGGGCAAATGGACCCCGGATGACAGTACAGTACCATCGTCCGGCGTCTGTATTCCGATCCGTATCTCTTGTTTATTAGGGGCTCTCTGGGAGCTACGACGTACGGTCGGAATCCGTCGGCTCCTCGTATTTTCCTCGACAGCAGACCCGAGCCTAGCAGCATTCGGTGAACGTCTTGAACTCATGTCTGGACCGCAACCATTGGGGAAATGCCAACGCCGAACTGTGCGAAAATTCCTTCGCGGGTGAGACGAATCGGAATCGGTGAACTGCTCCTGGATTGCAGCCATAAAATCACCCCCCCTAAAAAGAAGCGCAATCGGAAACCGAGGCCATTAAATCCGGATAGTGAACTCACTTCTGATCTCGGGGGAGAATGGTTCCGGTCGGGCATTAAAAGAGAGAGAGAGAGGGAAAGAGAAAGAAAGAGAAAGAGGTCACGGGATGAGTCCAGTCGAATGATCCCCGGGGAGAATGGTTGGAGGTGAAGTGAAGTGAAGGGCTAGGCGCTACTCGCGGGGCCGACGAACGAACACATGATGCGCCGCGAGGTCGGCTCTCAAAAAGGCGGTCGTCGACATCTGCTGCCGGGAGGGGAATTCGGGTGGGGGGCTCGGAGCGTTACCTAGTGGAAGGAAGTGCGAAATCCAGCCGATGGCGCTCCACAAGTCGCGAGGCCGGGAGGGAGGCCACCGTCGCCATCTCGTCACATGTTTGCAAGGCCGGGGCGACACTAGTTATATTTGCTTACACATTCTCGTACTTTGAACCGTCCTCGCGTCACTCGCTCGTGAGAAACTCACATGACATCTGGCCAGCGCCCGTGTTGCTATTATTCGATAACCGTTTGTGGGGGCACCGGTACAGGATACTTTAATCCATTTTTAAGACTAGAGTTTCCGTTGCGGGAGGCATCGTCGTCCAGGTAGATGGAAGAGCTATGCAAATTAGCATGAAGCGACTTCCATAAACCAGATGTAAGACATTTTGAAGTACAAGAGGTTTGCATGGGTGACAATGATGACAAAGTTGACCATGATATGCTATGATTCATCGTGACATGCGATGAGCTCATTCCGGCCAAAAAAAATGATTTAGAAAGTGAATTGTTTTCTCAGATGGTACAGATTGGTTATGATCGTAATCTTGATTTTTGTTTTAGAATATTTTAGGTTACTAGCACGCCTCAAAAGCGATTTAATAGGCACTTTTGGGAGCCTGTTTCTTCCTTTCTTTCCTTGCTCCTTTGCATCTCTCTCTGCCTCGGGTGCACCAGGTCTCCTTCGCGGAAAAGATTCACCACCTCTCGACTCCAGCTCCCATGTTCAGGACAACAGCAGCACTTACCGGAATAAATGCCCAAGAGAGAGAGAGAGACAGAGGAGAGAGCGCGCGAGTACGATCGTGGTATCAGTACGCTCTGCGGCTGTGTAGTAGTTTAAACATACATGATTGATTGAGTGTGGCAGATTGAGAACTGCTGGTCTGGTTTGGGCCGGGCCGGTCTGCCGAGGGCCCGAGACGGAGGGACAGGAAATAGATGAGCGAGGGGGGCCGGGAGGACCCAGACTAGAGTCCGTATAGCCATAGACCGGCAGTAGGGAATGATCTTCTTCCTCACCGCACCTCGCCTCACCCAAACAAAGGACACCCTCGAGAGTTAAATGTCATAAACTTGTAAAGGATGGAATGATCCATATTTAGCTCGAAATACCGAGGGCGTAAATTCGCGGTCGACGAAAACACGCTTGCCTATTCCTAATGGCAAAAGGCACGAGCGGTTACGGGAGGGAAAACCTGGACAAGCGGGGCAAAACGGAAAGGCTCGAGGGGATTTAGCCAAATTTAGTCCGAGAGGATTTGCGGAAAAGGTGGATGCATAGCTTTCCATAAAGCTCAATCTTCCTGCAAAAGGTCTGCAATATTCCCCAACCTCCTTTTTAAATTCCAATCATCACTACCAGGAGTATCTTCAGTGGACTATCCAAATCTATTCAGCAAGGACATAAAAGTAATGGATGAATTTTATCCTGAATTTGTCACCTACAGCAAAGGACCTAGGCGCGCCTCGACATACAATAATGCCCACAAGCAGGCAACAACCCCACGAAAATAGAAAGCAGCAAAAGGCCTCAAATCTATGCGTAATATTGTCTTCTATCTTGTCTAGACGCTAATATCCATAACTGTTCTACTTATGACGAGACAAGAATAGAATTTTGGGATCGGTCCGGCCGATGCCCGCGCAATGCAAGACAAATGACACGCAATTTATGCGCGCTGCGCAGTGACGAGAGCGGAATGATGAAATCACGCCCCCCCTCGCCGCTAATCAGCTCGACCTACGCCACGCCAGGCCCCCCCCCGGGCGCACGTAAACTAGGGTTTAGCCAAGATAGCCGAAGCGTGCGACGGGCCATCGCCATCGCAGGGCGAATGCGGACGAGCCGCGCGTTGTCGCCACGCGCGAAAAGTGGAGATGAGGCGGAGTCAGAGCGAGCGAGCGCGGAGCCGAGCGCAGCAGAGCAACGGGCCTGGTGCAGAAGCGGGAGGCGGCACAAGGCAACAGAAACTCTTTTTCCGCCCGGCCGGGCGCCCGAGCTCGGCCCCACGGCCCGGCCCGCCCCGGTCCACATTGGCCCCGGCCCAGGCGCCCTCCTTCCTCCCCGGAGCTATAAGTAGCACGCTCCTCGCCAATCCTCTTATCTCGTTCGAAGCGCTTCCATCTCATCATGCGGATGGGCCGGCCCCCCGCCCCCGCCCTCCCCCGCCATCCCCACCCCTTCTCTACTTCTACCGCTACTCCTGTTCTCTCCTCTCTTCTCCGCTCGCCCCCCACCGCGTGGGCCGAGCCGAGCCCGCCATTGCAGCCAATCAGCCCGCGAGCCTTCTAACACGAGAGGTGAGGTGAGGTGAGGGAAGGAGTGAAGCGCAGTGCAGGGCGAGGGAGGTGTGGGAGGAAAGGTGAGGTCTGGTGAGCGGGGCTTGATGGCCTATGATGAGTGGATGGAGCGGGTGGGGTTGCTGAGTTCTGAGATGATGCCAAGTCTTCAAGGTGCACTACAGCACCCTCCTCCATGCCTCCATTCCTCTCCTTCTTCTTCTCCTCCTCTCCTTCCGATTTCCTCCTGCTCATGGCTGCTCGCCTCCTTTTTCAGACTCCGGGTCACCATCTCCGCTAGCGGGTGGTGGCCTTTTTCTCTGTAGAGGAGGAGGGAGTCTGCAGCCTCCGCCTCCTCCTCTCGCATCCCGTCCGTCCTTTCCAGCACTGTTGCGCTTTCGTGCATCTCCTCCCCTCGTTTGCCCCTGCTTCGCTCTGCGCTCGGCATGGCATGTATAATCGTGCTCGGCAGGAGCGGTCGTTTCTCGCTCGCTCTTCCTCCACTTCTCTCGTGCACGTGTGTAATGTGGACGGGCGATTTATTTGAAGATTGCGTGAAGGGCCCCTCCGGCTTCCCCAGTCCCGACTTGCTCGTGTTCCGGCCCCCGGGTCTGTTCGTGTCTTTTAAGCGCTGTCCTTTTCTCGCGCCTTCTTCCTCCTCACTCCACGAAGTCGCCACCCCTCAGGCTCGCAATCATCACCAATATTTCCCGTCCACCACGAGTTCGTGTTGCATCCATTGAACATAATTGCGCTTGGAAACTACACTGTCCTCTCCCTGCGGAAAAGCTTTCGTATGTCTAGTCACGTCTTTTAGAGGTTGTGGTCCATTGCAGCCGTGCATGCCATGACTGAATTGATATATGTGAGGAGGTTCGCCTCCATATGTGAGGTCACCCATCTGTTCCGGTCAGAATGCCTTCTTCTCTTTTGCCAGTTCAAATCTCCAGCAGTCTGGTATTGCTGCTTTCGACTTTAGTCTTGGATCCCTGGAGTGTTTAAGTTTTTCAGACGGTGGACCTTCTCGCCATCGGCTTCTGTTGTCAGCGGGATCGGGAATCTACGTCTTCAATTTGCTCAACAGCGCTCGCTGACCACGAAGCAATACAGGAATTTTCCACTTCTCGTTGTTTGTAAGCGCTCGGTGTATGCATGTGTCCATGAGCGTTCATACGTCAGCTCTCAAGAGACTTATGTTACTAACTGTTTCCTGTCGAAAGGTTTCGGCCTTGGCTGGCGATAGAAACATGAATCCGTTGCAGGGTGTCGTGAACTCAGCGCTCATGCGGGGTGGGCAATGTAGGACAATGTGACGATTGTAACTGGAAAAGTGGATGCATCTCAAGGACTCAACAGGCATTGTGAACATTGGTAATGCTACGACAGGGATCATTGCTGGCTCTTGATGGAGCTTTTTTTCAGTTCAACTCTGGCTGGACTGGAGCTGGAGCTGCTGCTGAATCATGCATTCGCCTACTCTGTCCTAGATTACAAGGGCAAAGTAGTTGCATGCCTGAAGCAGGAGTTGCACCTACCTCCTATTTGGCCCGACTTGGACTGAAGGGAGCTCCCTCGCCTGCTGTCTTGATCTAGAGATTTCGGTCTTCACCCTTTTGGATCTTGATTGAGCGTTTAATTTTCGAATTCAAGTGGTAGCGAGAATCTAGAAACGTATAGTTTTTGAAATGTTCATCCGTACTGATTTGAAAGATTGTACTGATGACAATGCTTAGGACTAAGTTGTCACATTATACATTGTATCAATGTGAAGACGACTCATTTTAATAAATCGCCTTTCTTTCCAGTTATCTGCTCGCAATCTTGATTTGCCACTGTATTTGGCATCTGATGAATGATGCAGGTCGGATGTGCATATGCATTGTTCTGAGGCGCACCCTTAAAACTCAACATCTTTTTACTAGATACTTACTTTGCTTTGGCACGTCATTTGGAGACAGTACTTCTCGTCGGCTGAAGTCAACTGTCCTGCAGCTCCATTCGAATTCTGTGTAACAATTTGAAAGGACAAACTACGAAATGTCCTGCTGTTCCATAAGAATTCTGCATAACAATTTGAAAGAACAATCCACGAAATCTAACTAGCTGCAGTGAAGGTGAACAAATATAGGAAATATTGGCCGTGACAGTAGATTTTTCTTTTGTCTGGAGAATAACAGTTGAAATTTATTGAACATGTTTTGTATGGTGCCTATATGTAGAAAGATTTAGTTTTTCCACGCAAAGTATTCCAAATTGTTCTGATAAAACGTAGAAAAATCATTAAGTGAGAATGCAGAAGTTATGACAGTCGTCGGTGAAAGAGTATGGACAATTCAATACTCTTTGCACTTCAATAGAAGAAGGATATGTGCAATCAAGACTGTTCAGAAATTGAAATGTTTGAAATCGCCAGCTTTACAACATGTAAACTTATCAATCGAAGGATCTATCTTCAATGTGCAAGACTGACAGCGACCGTGTTGGTCCATGCGAACTGTGTGTCATGTTTTCGTGAGAGTCAATGTAAACTGATTACATCACGTGAATCCTTGTCAGGTTCGTTGATGCGTACGCTAAGATTGACATTTGCAAGTGTGTAAACACATTTTAGACCATAGTACATGCTCGCACGCTCACAATCGATTTGAATTATTGAAAAAGTTTTCTCACCAGAGGGCAGCAACGCCTATTGTGGATGAATTTTGTGTGATCTATACTTAACAATACCGTACACCAAACACAAGATATATCATTGATGGTAAGACGACCTCGGGGCCTGAAGCGGGAAACTGTCCGAACACTGGAAATGTAGTTCGTTGAATGCTTGACCTCAGGACCATCATGTGCAATTTTCTTCAAAGAAACTGTGCACACTCGCACAGAGTTGCACACGAAGGGATATTACACCGGTATGAAACGATATCTGAACTGAAGTAAGCGCTTGATGCGTCACGTGTTCCCAAAGGTGTACTTAGGAGCTCGCCACGCATCATCGACCTCCAGCGAAGGCTCGGGGTTTGTCTTGACCGCAAGACAATGATTGTACTTGTCAGGTATCTCACGAGCCACCACTATATATAGGACTTATCAGAAACGCCTTCAGGGATGTATGCATGCATTTCATCAAGCAGATAAAGTCAAGTCTGCAATTTCCTACAATGTCAACGAGTACATGAGTACTACGTACTGCTACTGTTGATACTTGATGGGGCGTATCTTCGCCCTGGGAGATCTTCAAGGGGCTGCAACGCACAACATGTGCCCTCGCAAACCGCAAGAAGGGATGCATGGCAAGCTGGGTAAGATTCTTCGTAGGAGTTTCTGGATAGATGTGTATGTTCGGCCCGGATCGTTTGGATCGCTTATCTGGTGAGCCTCGGTGCCGCGTATTCGTATTAATGAGTAAACAAAGACTCGGACAGACTCGCAGTCTGTAGCTTTTCCAAGGTGTCCTAGATTTGGACAGCAGGAAGGAATCCTTTTGAATTCCTGAATGGACCGAGGAAGTAAAATGTTGTGCGCTTTTCAAGTGTGCAGGCTTTGACAACTTTGACCTGCGTCAAAAACGCTAGTACGTGCTTTTCGAATGATTAGCCTTGCTGGCTTGTCAATGAACTGAACTGCATCTGTACAGTTCTGCACTCCATACCTCTTTCCGACAGATGGCGCGAGCACTCTACACCAACCTTTATTAAGTCAAAAACATTCCGTTGGTTCTTTAATCTGCCAGAACCGCCAAGCGTTCTGGTCTAGCCTCTCTGCTCCTAATCATACTGAACTGGCAGGCAAGTTCGCTTGCCGAGGCAGCATGATGAAGCAGACATACGCACACTGGACATGATTACCGTCGGAGCTCTAACTTCGATGAGAAGTGCTATGTCAATTTGCAGAAATATTTACATCACCCACTCTCCTCTCCTCCCACAATTACCCCTTTGGAAGTATGCGAACCAACTCCCCGAGGCTGCAATCCAACACAAGCGACATGGTTCCGGTGCTGTCGTTCCTCGCTTTCTTCTGTTACACGAGACCCCAAGTCAGCTCCCCCCGGTGAGGGTAAATTAGCTCAAGCTTAGGGGGTGCATGCATGGCCTTGCTTTTCCAACATCCCAATCAGTGGCGTTCCACTGGACCCTTCTAGTACCCCCGTGGAAGCCAAGTAGAGTTCTCAAGCCATGATACTGGATCTTTCCTCGGTTTCCCCACCGCGGTCGGTGGTAACATCAAGAAATATTTTAGAGCTCGAAAATCTTATCAAAATGTGATGCGGTCCTGACAAACACAACTTTGAATCATTGTATGCGCAGTCGTCCACCCTGCACAGCTACAGCACTGTCTTGCTTCCCGCCTCGGATTACCGAGTGTAGCATCTGCACCTCCGTTCCATGTTCATGAGGTACCACCAGACTCGGTCGCGCCGATGTGTCATCACGTTTTGCGTCGCGCACGACCCCTTGGAGCTTCTCCAGCCGATGCAGCCGCTCTGATCAAGGCAACAAACCGAGCCCCACGGTTAGTCGCTTGATAGTCGAGAGCTCATATTCATTATTCGACGTTGAACCTCGTCGAATTTTTCTGTTGCATGCAGCGCCATGTTCCCCCAATAAAGATCCTCGGCTCCATGCATCGATCCGGGCGCCGCTTGCGAGCCTTTTGGGACCTTAATGATCCAACAGCTAGAGTGGCTGGCATGGCCAGGTAGAACCGATCTGCGATCGAGCCCCAGTGTGGAAGTGATCTGCTTCCGTATTTTCTTGACGAAGCCAAGGTGGGGTGGGGAAGCGCTCGAAAGTACAGCCGTATGAGTGAGGAACAAGCCACGGCCCGAGAGAAGCATGTTCAGGACGATGTACAATAAAAGGCCTGGAATTGGCTACGGGGATAATCTGTAAACAAGGGAAAAAGTTGGCAAGGACCATGCTAACCGAGCTAGCGCTAGAGATTTTCGGCGAGCCTAATAGGCTCGTGTGTGGGCGTGTGAGTGGTCACATAGTCTAGGAATTAGGAAAGGAAGAGGGTCGCGTAGGTAGGTTTACTTTTTCTTGGGTTTGAAGTTGATCACGAGGGTTCTGAAGAAAAACACCGAGTCTGCTAGCTACTTTACTTTCTTCACGCGCTATGTCTGCGTTTCGTCCCGTCTGCAGTTCTTCGTCTCTGGGGAACTCCTTTAATTGGGATGCGTGTCGAAGGGAAGGGATGGGATGGCAAGAGAACAACTGAGCTCGCAAGGAAGAAGCGAGGAGTCGAGGCTTGACTGGTACATGGGCTGTGAGCTGCGTGGTACCGGTTGGCCGAGTGTGCAGGACCCTTCGTTGCGAACATTCATGTTCGGAAAGGTGTGGTGATAATTTCTTTCCCTTCGAGGCTTCATCATCGCATTCACATATATCTCTGGTCGAGGTGCACACTGATTACCTGTTCCAGTTCTACAAAGTGCTCTATTTCGAGTCTGTTGCCCGCCCCCTACTTACAGATCCTTGACAGATCGAGCAAATAAAGTAGGCACCGTAAGCTCCTCTTCTCTGCCTGCCGTAGCTCCAGTATACTGCAGATAGCTACGACCTGCAGCAGCACCGGTACCGGCAGCTCCTTCATGATCATGCAAATGTACATGAATCTTTCTCTCTCCCCATCTCTCTCTCTCTCTCTCTCTCTCTCTCTCTCTCTCTCAAAGTCTATCCTTCGTCTCCATGGGTATTCGAGTGCAACATGACCTGTAGGCAAATAAACCCCTATGCCACCCTCGGAATTCATCCACGATCCCCTCGCGGATCGCACAGCTCACCTCGTGGTTTGCTCACATGGTATATCTCGAAAGGTCGATCTCACCACATTTCATCGTCCACTGCCTTTACCACGAAACCTTTCTTTGTTTGTCTTGCTGCCGGTGACTTACTATCGACAACGCTGGACAAGCTACATAGACTCGGAGCTCTGCTGCTGCAGCTCCTGCTGCTTCTTCTGTATACGCAGACCAGACAACAGCTGCCTTTCTCTGGTCAGCAGCATGTACCACAGTCGATGGACTTTGGACCACATAATCGGTCAACATGGAGCCTTGGTTATCAGGCTGACCGCCCTCTCCCATGCTTGGCTGCGATATACATCCGAGAGAGCTGAAGCGTTTGGGCAAGGTAGACAGCAGCAGCTACGTTGTCCCGTTTTGTGCGAATGCATCATCGGAACTAATTTTACTTGGTACGAGCCAGACAGATCTGATCTCTCCAAAGAGCTTACTCGTGAATTATGTGCACACGATGAGTAGGTAACCCCCGTTCCCTTTGGATCGAATCCTCAATCTATTCGGGATTCATGTATAAGTCGGTGTACTCGAGTACCCTAGACACGGATATTTATCGGAACATTAAGGGATCTGTGTCGTATCCACATATAAAACAAAATAGTTTACCTTAAGCAATCGCCTTACCTTAGATGCGAATCTAATCATCCAGTGACGAGCAGATTTTAAGCTGGAGAAATCCAGACAACAGCAGGTCTGACTTTTTCTAATGGGTTGTAATCAGACCTAGGGCTAGCCTTAATACGACCACAGTACAATATCTAGTAAAATATTACAGTTCTCTCCATCTA